TCGAAAGTAGATAATATTAATAAATAGGCATATACCGCCATACATCCATAAATTAATAAATGCTCAAAGGTGCTCAACAAAACACATAAATAGTTCTCAATAACAATAGGCCTGTTTAAAGAAAGATAAGAAAAATCTATAACTGCATGGTTGTAGCATAATAACAAGGATCTTTGCTGTCTTCCTCAAAACAAAAATGCTAATGTTCTGTACAATTATATACCATGATTATTATTGTACCCAAGTGTTCCTTTCATATCACGACCATGGTAGTTTATTCAGTTGTTTCCATGGCAATTACAATTATTATCATAGTATTACAAATCTGATAGAGGTCAACCCATGGACCACACATACTAAGTATAAAAGCAATTGATCTGGTAGTTTTCAAGAAAAAAGAGAAAATGTAGTTATTGACGGATGGACAACGACGGACAATCACCTATATGAACGATGACACGTTGTCCTAATACTGTTGTGGGCGCTGAGGGCAGACTACGGGCTGGTTTATGAAGTGTTACTAATATACCGGGGGGGCTGTGTCTTGAACGACAAGAATGTTTAAAGCGCGGTAGTCGTCGCGCAGCGCGTGTTCGAATTTCATGTAATTAAACAATGTACACGCGTTGTATACGTCGCTATGAGTCCCATATCGAACAAGACGCGACACGACGACCACCGCCCTTTAACAGTAACATTTTGAAATAAATACGTTGTTTTATAGGCCAGTAGTGTAATTTATGTTGAATATCCGTTTTGTGTTCTGGGTTTATTGAAGATTTTGTGTGTTGGCTTTTGTTAATTACAACACTGTGCACATTACTTCGTACAAGTGATGACAATGAATCTGAACATAAACACACTTTATTAGAATACTGAATAGAAGTCCTCAGATGCGAATGGACGCCGGGATCTCGATGAGAGCGAACGTTCCACGAGACTATCTGTTGGACATTATAAGTCACGTGGCTCGCTCGCTCAAGGCGGTCATTTGCATATATTGTCAAGATGCAAGAATGTTAATGAAAGAATGTCACTGTTTATTCATATTACATGTAGATAGCGCCCGACAGTGGCGATGACTTCGGAAGTTTTTTTATAACACATTTTCTAGCGATACATGCAATTAAAAATACATATTGTTTACGTGCGGCATAGTCCAGGATTCAAGTCGTTTGTGCCAGTAGCTCTATTTCGCTGTTGTCGCAAAGGTATACAAAATGGCGGCGATCAGTAGTATGAAACTTTGTTGCAGTGTGTTTCCATAGTTTCCTGTGTTGCACAGGTCGGAGGAACAACATTCCAGACAAACTTCGTTGTCTGTGAAAAAAAAAATTAGATATTAAACTGTCGAATGTAATTATGCTTCGAAAAATTAAAAATTAGCTCAACACATATATAATGTAATAATAAGTGGGACTAATAACTCACCGCCTTCACTCGCGCATCCTTCGACACACAGAGCACTGGAGGTGCACCCACGCACAAACAATTTTGCCACGCCATCAGTTCGCACTTCCTAAAATAAAAAAGATTTTGGTGTCATACAATCGTAGAACATGATATGTGGGAAATATGGATTGCAATAATGTTTGGGA